CTTTTACTTTCTATTCCCTTAGCTATTATTATTATTGTTGTTGTTGTTATTATTTTCCATAGTATGTACCATACTGAAATCCAAGAACCATAAGAGGAAAGACTTTGTTTTGTTCGCTCCTCCATTCTCAGCGACTAGAATAGTGCCTGATACATAACAGATCCTCAACACATCTGTTAAATGAATGAGTGATTGTCTCGAGTAATAAAAGGTGAGTGATTATGAATAACACTCATCATTCCTTTTTTTTTTCTATTTGGAGAGGAAAATTGGGAGCAGAAAAAGGATGGGATTTCTCAGAGACTCAGGATCCCATTTCCTGTGAGATTGATATGGTGGCAGAGCAGAATATGGGGTGGGGGGGAGATTCAAAAACTCTAGGGGATGAAAGAAAATTTGCAAGGAAAATAATGCTCTTGTATTTCCAGGGGAAATCTATGTCATCTCAAAGTGAGAAACGTTTGTTGGTCTAAACCATAACAGTTACAACTCATCTAATTTAAAAATACCTCTTTCGATAGTTATTTCCTTTTTAAAACACCTATAATTAGAATATATTAGGCAAAATGGCCACATAGTAAGAACAGCACTTTTCTTATGATGTGATTTTGCACTCAATTATCATTTACATTTTTTTCTTTGTAAAATAACTAAACATGACATTAAAATGTGAAATAGAGAACTATAAATTTTAAGCTAAAAAATATACAGGAACTTTTTGGTATCTTTCTCACTAATATACTTTCATCATATTTGACCAAATTTTTGCACATCTTCAGTTGAATGCTTTTCCAACGCACTCTGAAATATTTAAATTAGTGTTAAAACTTCCCTGGAAATGCACATTAATACTTTGAGACTTCATAGAAACCAGCTGTAGTCCAATGAGAATATTCCTTTCTCATTGGCTGGTGGCTTCTCTGTAGTATAGCCATGGAGTCTACACTCCTGTTGGCAGAGCTACACACCCAAGTTCTCAAGCCCATTGTGGGAAGCTGGGAGGACATACCTTTCCTCTGTGGGCCCTGGTTCCCCTGCTGACTGCTCACAAGCTTGGACTCTGCTGATTGTCGTGCCCTGTTAGATCAGTGAGCTTTGCCTCTGTGTCTGTGCTTTCCTGTAACTGCCCCAGTTTCTGAGAGTCACTTCTAAGTGGGCAGAGGTGAAAGAATTATTATGTCTCACATGTCTATTGTACATTCCAGTTTCTATACCTCTTTTTTTTAAATTTTATTTATTTATTTATCTGACAGAGAGAGACACAGAGAAAGAGGGAACACAAGCAGGGGGAGCTTGAGAGGGAGAAGCAGGCTTCCTGCTGAGCAGGGAGCCCGATGTGGGGCTCGAACCCCAGACCCTGTGACCGTGACCTGAGCTGAAGGCAGACACTTAGCGACTGAGCCACCCAGGAGCCCTCAGACATCTTAAACTTAACACATCCCAAACTGAGATTATCCCTCATGTCCCCACCCACTGATCTGGCCACCCAAGTCAGCAAGGAGGCTCCTCTTTTTCTCATTTCCACCTCCCCCACACAAAGCCAAGTATGGAGGCCTGCTGATCCTGACTTATCCTGTCTCCTCTCTACCGTTGCTGCTGCTGATCCTTTGTTATTGTGTAGCTGGATTCTTGTAGCATCTGCTTGCTTCTAGTCTCATCCTTCTCTTCATCAACTTTCTTTCTAGCCTGTGGAATGAAGCCTATCACCAATCTGCTCAAAATCCTTTACTTGGGGGTGCCTGAGTGGCTCAGTTGAGTAAGTTTCTCCCTTTGGCTTGGGTCCTGATGCCAGAGTCCTGGGACTGGTCTGCATGTGGCTCCCTGCTCATGGGGAGGCTGCTTTTCTCTTTCCCTCTGCCTCTCCCCTCAATCCTGCATGTTCTCTTTCTCTCAAATAAATAAATAAAATCTAAAAAAAAAAAAGTCCTTTATTCACCTCCCCTGAAAAGGGGTCAGCAGAAATCCAAACTCGTAATGGCACACACCAAAGCCTTAGGGCTGGAACTGGTTTCTTTTCCTTTCCTTTGATTTTAGCCACGCAAAATATCCTCAGTTTCCTGAACTAGCCCGTTCTCTGGCTTCTCAGATATTACCATGTTCATCTTCCTTAACGTAACACACTTCCCTTACTCTTCAAAGGAGTCACACCTATTCACTGTTTCCCAGCAGCCTCCCACGACCACACCGTTTGTGTTGGGTGGTCCTTCCACGCGGCCCCATAATTCCGCATTTCACAGCCACATTTTAACACAAGACTGTGAGCCACATAAGAGCAGGCAAGAGTGTAGCTTTCATTTCTACATCTTCAGAAATGATGTAGAGCTCAAGACATACCTCGTTGATACAGGGAAGGAGGAGAAAGGAGAAGGGGAGGGGAGGCTCTGGTCTCTGCTTCCACAAAACGGCTCTTACGAAGATTAAGGTCATGAGTGACCACACAGTTCCTAAATGCAACAGACGGCTTTTCCCCCAAGAAGCCTGAGGTGAACTCTGAAAATGTTTGTTAGTCACTTGACCCAGAAATCCCTACAAAATCATGAAAATCAAGAGGTTCACATCTTGATTCACTAAAAGAACACCCAAGAAACTGCCCGGGCCATCAGGGGTATGCAGATCTGAAAAGCCACCACGTATCTGAAGGATGTCACTTTGCAGAAGCAATGTGTGTCGCTCTGTCACTACAGTGGTGGAGTTGGGAAGTGTGCCCAGTCCAGACAGTGGGGCTGGACACAGGGTTGGTGGCCCAAGAAGAGTGCTGAATTTTTACTGCACACGCTTACAAATGCATAGTGCTGGGGCACCTGGGTGGCTCAGTGGGTTAAGGCTCTGCCCTCGGCTTGGGGCATGGTCTCGGGATCCTTGGATCGAGCCCAGCATTGGGCTCTCTGCTCAGTGGGGAGCCTGCTTCCCCGCCTCTCTCTGCCTGCCTCTCTGCCTACCTGTGATCTCTCTGTCAAATAAATAAATAAGATCTTTTAAAAAATGCATAGTGCTGAATTTAAGGGTTGAGATGTAGATTCTCTGGTCATTGAGCACATCCAAATGAACAAAGTCCCCAAGATGTGGCCCAGAACTTAGAGGGCTCGTGGTGGAACTCACCCCTACCTGAGCTCTCCCTGCCACATCGAGGTGACCCTTACTGGAAAAGAGCAGATTGCTCCTACATCAGAAGAGGGGGTTTCACCAAAGGAAAAATATCCCACAAGAAACTGAAGAAACAAAAGTTCATGGCCCAGGAATAAATTCTGCATAAAAGAAATGCAAATAAAAATTAAAAAAAGAAAAACATGTAATGGGTCCACTTTCTGCTACTCTGGATCCAGGTTTTTGAAACCTCACTTCCTCCTAGACTGTCTGATGGATGATGCTTCTCATTTTCCTCCTTAGCGTCCTTTTCTTCTGCTCACCTCTTAAATGTTAGGCCTGCCTCCAGGGTATCAACCCGCTGTCGGGCTCTTTCAGGCTCCCTGGGGTGTGTCTGACACCTGCAGTGTTGTGCTGCCCCCTACGGGAGCCAAAGAGAGAGGCCAGCCAGCAAGAGTATGGTCCCTCCCTGCTTTGGCAGGAAATAGGCTTTGTTACACTCTCTGCGGCTTGCCTTGAAGCCTAGCCTGGGCAGGCTATCCTCCAAGGTTTCACCGGGCGGCAACCCTCCTGAAACCATTTTGAAAAACTCCCCGGAGGAGTCAAGGTCTGAGTAAAGCCCACCCACAGTTTACTTCACTTCCTTTTCTCTTTCTCTGCCCTGGTGACTGTGCTTCTTCCTCCTCCTCAGCTTCTGGTTTTTGCTTTCTTTAAAACCTTCCCAAGCTGGCGCCTGGGTGGCTCAGTGGGTTAAAGCATCTGCCTTCGGCTCAGGTTATGATCCCAGGGTCCTGGGATGGAGCCCCACATCGGGCTCTCTGCTCTGCGGGGAGCCTGCTTCCCCCTCTCTCTGCCTGCCTCTCTGCCTCCTTATGATCTCTGTCTGTCAAATAAATAAATAAAATCTTTAAAAAAAATTAATAAAAACTAAAATCTTCCCAAACTAACCGCATTTCAGCTTAGCTCATTCTAGTCCTGTCTTATCTTCTCTTCTAGTCCAAAGATTTACAGTAGCCCACGCTAGGGGGAGAGCTGAAGACTGGGGTGGATTGGAGCAGAACCTTGGTCTGACTCTGAGATTCAGTTAAAAAGTGAAGGCAATGATGCCTGCCGTTCTCACCTCCCAGGACTCCAATGTGTTCGAATGAATGGGGTGTCAAGTGCAATTTAAGGCACTGAGCTGACTCAGTTTCCCCATGCTGGTCCTTTTGGGAAGGGTATCTACTATGACAGGAGTTCAGAGGTTGAAGAGAGCAGTGTTTTTACTGGGCTCCTCTATGTCAAATCAGAAATGTCTCCAATTCGAAAACAGCTATGAATATGCTGTATTAGGGACTGTGTCTTGCTTATGGGTCCCCAAAGTGGCCTAGGTGGGCAAATAATTCATTTAGATTCAAGAGGGATGGGCCTGAAATTTCTTAGACCACAAGGCTGGAAAATCCATTCTTCTGGGCCAAGTAATCTTGCTTTTTCTATTAATGATCAGTAGCTCGGCAGTGACTTTATGATGAAGGAGGAGGAGCCCGAGGGTGGGGCTTAGGGCATGGGAGATTTGATTTCCTAGATTTTCTGCTCTGAATGACACTTGTATATGACCTATTCCTCTCATGATTTGGGGTTGGCTCAGGCCAGAAATCCCCTGCAGACTTGGTGGGTACCCTCCAATTTTAACTTCTGCATTAATCAGGGTGACTCCTGCCTGGGAAACCAAAATTAGATATTCTCTACCGGGGGGACTTTAATCTTTTCTCCTCTTTTCTTTTTTGGACTTCAATCTTTGAGCACTGACCCTTCCGAGAATCCAACAGAAGCTACAGATCCTCTCTCCAGAAAACAGAACTGATTGCACATTCAAACAAAATAGTTAATTTCATTTTGCTTCCGTACTGCTCTGAGATATGACGCCTTCCTGTTTTCTGTCCCCAGGCTCCACCCATGAGTTGCTGAGCATCAAAAAGATCAGTGAGTTTTCCTCTCACCTTGGACTGTGACTTCAATGGCTCTGGAGCCCTTGGTCTCTTCTTAGCCTGATTCCCACCTGTCTCCAGCGTTCCCGGGAAGTAACATGTGCTCCCAAAGGTTGAAGCCGTGTCTGGCTCTGGAACTTCTACTGCTGTTTCATTTGGTCTTGCCAACCAGCACTCAAGGTACTTCACACAAGTTGTGTGCATGTGATTGTGCATTGAAGGCTCGGGTGAGGTGGAAAAGGGGCTATGGGGTGGGGCTTAGTCCTCAAATGGGAGTGTGGTCTCCAGGCAGCAGATACTTCTGTGCTGGTAGGAGGGCTGTGGCGAGTTGGGGAAACTTCCTGAGCCTTGGAAAATCAGCCTCTCTCTTTCCCCAAGGGATCATGACAAAAAACAGGACCTCAGGGAGACGGGGAAGGAGGCCCCTCAGCTTTTGTTCCATGCTTTGTGGTCCAGGAAGATGTTTCGTTTTGTTTTGCATTTTGAGTAAGAGGAAGCTGCCCATTGATGGCTGCCGCACTTTCTGCTCTGCTCTGTACACTGTGCTCCCTGATGCATTCTTCAGACCTCTGTCGATGCAAGGGATTATGTCCTGAACAAAGGTAAATGATGTTGTTGTGATCCCAAAGAGACACCTAAATTGTAGGAAAGAAAACCTGGAGAGGATTGCTTTCTCTAGAGTCTCTGAATGAGGGTCTGAGCAGAAGCCTGAGGCACCTCAGTATCAAAGGAGCTCTCAGCATCTAGTTGTTAGGAGTTGAGGGTCATTCCTCTGCCATGGGCTGTCCTGGTCCCCCTCATGTACCCAGGGACTGAGTTAGCTCTCCGTTTTGTTACAGCTGTTCACCTTCCAGTACCTTTTTTTTTTTTCAGGTCAGCTGAGAAGTGGGAGTTAAGCTATTGCCTTTCTCACTACTCCCTTTAAGAGATACTCAGGTCTTTTTCATGTCGAAGGCTTTAGTGCTCACCACTATGGGGAGAAAAAAAAAAAGAGTAAAAATGAACAAGCACGGGGAACCAACACAGCATCATAAAATTACGGTGTAACTTTTGGGAAGAGGAGACAGTCATGCTCAGTCATGCCCTGTTGACCACTGCCGTAGGAACTCTCCGGGTGACAGTACTTTGGGTCTGGTTGATGACTGTGTACATCTAGACACACGATGTCTTCAGGACATTCCTAGCTGTGTGGGTTCCATGGCACTGACTCAACTTAGAACACAGATATGGCCTTGCGAGTGGAGGCTGATGCGAAATATTAATCCAACTTTTGGGAAAGATAGTGCTGCTAAGAGAACTGGAGTATTTCAGGACTTTCTCTAGACACCAGGGCAATGTGTCTAAATCTCTTCATGCATAGATTATGCCCACAGATGGTCATCTTATCCCCAGTTTATGACTTCCCCCCTATTAATTGCTGTTTGCCTTGAAGGAGGTGCTTTCTCTGTTATGGCTAGGTTTTTCCTTCTGCCCAGGATTCACTGCACCATCCTCTCCTTCTGCCCCTTCTGTAGGCTTCCATTTTTATGAGACTTCCTCCTGTAAGCCTCCAGATTATGATGGTGAATTGCTTGTTCGAGTGTCTCTTTGAGAGGACGTGAGGACAGAGACCATGTACACTGCTAAACTTAGCAGAGTGCCTGGAACTTAGGCTGGGCTCAATAAATAATTATTGAATATATGAATGAATGACTTCAAAGAACTTTCTTTCGGTCTCTATGTTTAGATCTTCCTGGGGTCATAGTGGTACTCTCCTCCCTGGTAAAGGATGCTTTTGTGGATAAATCTGAGAAGCATTTTTAAATCTCCTCTTTCATCCCTCCTCAGGCTTTTGTCTCTCAGCACTCTGATTTTAGTTTCCCTCCACTACTGGGCATCTTCTCCTTCTGCTCATAGCACTTAGCAGAGTGCAGTGGAAGAAGCATGTACTGCGTCAGAAGACCTTTGTTTTGTCTGGGTTCCAGGCTATGGCATTTTCTATAAATCATAAATGCTTCCTGGGCCTCTGCTTTCTCAACTCTATAATGGGTATAATAATATACTTCCCATTTCTTTCTTTCTTTCTTTCTTTTTTTAAGATTTTATTTATTTATTTGACAGAGGGATATAGCGAGAGAGAGAATGCAAGCAGGGAGAGTGGGAGAGAGAGAAGCAGGTTTTCCCCAAAAGCCTGACTTGGGGCTTGATCTCAGGACCCTGAGATCATGACCTGAGTCAAAGGCAGACACTTAATGACTGAGCCACCTAGGAGCCCTTTATGATTCCTGTTTCTTCAAGAGGTTATATTAGGATCAAATCAAATAAAGAATGTGCTTTGAAAATGTGACACACATAATCTGAGACAAATAAGAGCCTGGGAAGGACATAAGTAAACTTCAGAGCCCAAAGTTCTCTCATTACCCTCAGATCTGAATTTTTAATTGCTTTTAAAACATCTCCAGATTCTCCACAAACATATGCCCCAAATCTGATTCATCATCTTTGTTCTGGCTATCTATTGCTGTGAAATAAGCCATCACATCTCTGCAGCTTAAATTAATAATCACTTATTTTGTGCACGAATGAGAGGGCAGACTATGCTCAGTATCTCCTGTGTGTGTGGCCAGATCATGGTGGGGCGTGAGGTCATCTCTGAGGTTTCTTCAGTCACATGGTTGGTGCCTAGGCTAAGTAATACTACAATAACCGTTTGTCTGATCTTCTTATATGGTAGCCAAACCTCCTAGGGTGAGTATCCTGACAGACACCACCTGGTCTTTTCTAACCTCACTTTGTGAGTCATACTTCTGCTGTCTCCCACTCATTGAGGCCATCATCAAGGAGAGAGGATGGAGATACCACCTCTTGATGGAAAGAGTATCAAAAATTTACTGACTTAAAACATTTTTATAATCTGCTATTCCTCTGCTGTTTGCTTTCTCAACAAATGACATCTCTGTGTCCAATTACTGAAGCCAGAATTCTGGAAGCCATCCTTACCTCCTTCCGTTTCCTTGCCTGTCATTTCCAGTGAGTAAGTCCTGTTAATTATACCTTCAAAAAGTCTCTCAAATATATCTAATTCCACCCACTTCTGCTGGCAGATCAAACCATCTGTCCTAAATCAAGACATTATTTTCTCTCATCCAATTACTATAATAGTTTCCTATCCTGCTTAAAAGCTCTTTTTTTAAAAACTCAGTTCTTCTCTCTATCTAGTATTTACCATACTGCCATTGGTATAAATTTTCTAAAATGGTGATCTGTTTATTTTACTCTTCTTTTAAAAACTCATCAGTGGTCATCATAATGAACAAGAATTACAGCAGACACTGGGCATAAGCCTGCATTAGATAATGTGGTCACTTCCTATTGTTGGGTCCCCCAATAATGGGTCTATGGTCAAAGGAACAAGACTGATACAAAGCGAAGGTCAAGCAAAGCTTTATTTTGCGCCAAGCATCAAGAATCAAGCCGACGGTCAAACAGACTGGTTGGCGCCGCCCCTTACAGAGAGGGCGACCCCTCCCTGCCTCACAGACCAACTTTTATAGAGCAAAGGCCATGCAGTTGAGCCTGGCCACACAAGGTGGCCAATGACATAGCAATACACAGAGAAAGCTGCTCGGTCACACACGGGTGGCCAATTGAACTACAATTCACCCCATAGTAGCTATTTGAACTAGCCTATCACCTTAGTCAGAATTGGCACCCACAAGGCACCCAAAAGGTGGGGCCCACATTCCTTGGTAGCTAGGGAGACTATGCATACTTTACTGATTGGATGTATCCACCTGACTCGACTCATCCCTGCATTTGGGCCGTTATCTCCACCTGACCTGGCCCACCCTTGTATTTGGGCTTTGTTACCTGGGACTGGTTTCCCGGACTTGCTTTTAAGTTAAGTTCCCCTGGAGGGGGGAGGGCAGGGTCAATTTAAGTTTTACTGCATAAACAACAAAATGGCTGTTCAACTGAGGTGGGGCCTCTCTGGCTAAATAGGCCTTACACTACCTTCCCCCATTTGGTGTTCTAATCAAATGCACTACTTCTGCTTCCTTAAGTGGACCTTGCTTTTGTGGTCTCTGAGCACTTGATACTTTTCTTCTCTTTTCTTCTCTTCTAGATGGAACATTGATTACTCTCAGTCCTCACCTTTACCTGGCTAATTTCTACTTATACTAATTCCCACTCACACTATCTATGGAAGCCACTCCTGACCCCTAAATTCAAGTGATATGCTCCCTTTGTATTCCATATTTTCCTTATCCTAATACTTATCACCAATAGTGGTTAATTGTCTGTATCCACAAGAATGGAAGCTCCTTAAGATAAGGAGCTATGTCTCTTTCATTCTATGCATGGTGCCTACCACAGAGCCTAGTCCATAGTAAGTGCTTGTTCTACATTTATTAAAAGAGTGAATAAATGAATAAATTGATGTACATATGTATATGTGCTTGGATGGATGCATAGATAGAAGGAAGGGAAAAGGGAGGGAGGAAGGAAGTTGTGAATCGTTGTTTCTGTCAGGCTGGGATCTCAGCAAAGAATTTGCCTCCTATTTCACTAAAAAAATGGGGACTGGAGATCATTAAGCAGAGAACCTCTCAACTTGTTGCCTACCACCTCTAAACTACAGACTCTCTACATCCCCAACTGTCTTTTCCCCCTTCTCTTTTCCCTCAAAGGATGAAGTATCTCCCCTTCCAGGCAAGACCTGAGCCATTAACTCTTCTCTAAACCCCTTCTAGCCCAATGCCACTGGTCACCTTCTTTCTCTTCCAAGTTTCCTTCTCCACTGGCTCCATCTCTTGACCTATCAAAGCTTATCTTTTCCTTCTTAAATAAAACTAAAAAATTAAACAAAAAACCTCTTTTTACCTTCCATGTCCCTCTATACAATGCCCTGCTAGTTTCCTTTCCATTCACACTGAAATGTCTTAGAATAGTTTACTTTTGTTCTCTCTTCTCTCTCAGCTTCAATTGAGTTCTTGCAGTCTGGCCTAGTAAACTCATTAGTTTTCCCATCTTAGGAAATAGTACTCTTGTCACCCATAACAAAACCTGGGGTCCTGATCTCTATTGCCAAATTACTTCCTTAAGGTAGGAAGCAGTTCAAGATGGTAACGTAGTAAGATCTTGAACTCATCTCCTTCCATGGACACAAATCAATGACTACACACAGTATAATTCTCTCT